TGAAAATATATGGAGTACATACCCTATCTCCTTCTAAACAAAGATACATAAATAATGTATTTAAGCACTTTATCACATACAATAATCAATCAATACACATATTCGATGTATTATTCTAATCGTTGTGTTCAATGACGTAGTCCAGGTGATTAGTTTCAGTTTTCCCTAATCAACATACAATGTCTACAACAATCAAGACTATCCTCCATCGATAGCCCAAAGCAGTTATTTCTAAACAGATCATAATATTATCAAACAGATAAATTACCAACATTTTCGTAAGTGAGTGATTTATTCCTCCAACTACACCATTCAATTCCATAATTTCCCAATTTCATGGTTTCCAACTCAATTTCATATTTCCCAAAATTAATTATTCAAATTAATTATTCAACAGAATTAGGCCATTTTCTCCCTTTTTCAAATATTAACCTTAAGGCCCAATCTCACCTATTAAACCCACAAAACCTCATTTTCAAGACCTCATAAACATATGGAACTCAAAAAAAAAAAAAAAACACAAAACACAAAACCCCTCTCATATGTAGCACAAACCTCAAATCCTAACTTCCCAAATCACCAAATCCCAATGTTTATACTAAATGACTAATATTTATGTTAAAACTCATAAGAAGGAGTAGATCACCCCTACCTCAAAGTTAGGAGCTCAAAGGAGATGAGGAGAAAAACCCAAGATGCTCCAAATGCGAGATTTTTTCGAATCAAAAGATAGCCCAAGCCAAGCTCCAACTTTCTTACAAAGGGACTAGGATAGAAGAGCCATGGATCAAGAGTATTTGTAGAGAGAAGGGGAGTGTAGAGAGAGAGGGAGTCGGATCTAGGGTTTGGAAGTATAAAGAGATGAAAAAGTGAAGAAGAAACACGCTGCTGCAACTGATATACTCGAGGCTCGCTCGAGCGAAGGAGTGGTCGCTCGAGCGACTAGACACAAAGAAACCTCGCTCAAGCCAACAATTTGAAGCTTCAGGTCTACAACCCAGAAGCATGCTCGAGCGAAGAAAAGCTCGCTCGAGCGAGGAAATCCAAAACATAGACCTCGCTTGCTCGAGCGAAGGAAAGCTTGCTCGAGCCAAGAAATGCAACTCTCAGGTTCAGAACCAGACGCAGACGCAAGCTTGAGCAAGACTTCTCGCTCGAGTGACCAGACACAACACCCAACTCTAGCTCGAGCGAAGGAACCCTGGCTTGAGCGAAGGATCTAAAACATAGAGCTCGCTCGAGCGACAAAATCCTCGCTCGAGCGAGGGCACCAAAATCTGGGCAGCTACTAATTATTTCAAAACTCACCCAACTTGTTACAAACCTGCCCAACACATCCTAAAACCCTAATACAAGGCATTAAAGGACGGAAAGAAACAAATACAACAACTGACATCTACGGAACCGAGTTCGGAATACAATAACCAATGGAGGGAAAACCAGGATCGCTATATTAACTCACATCATAAGTTACCTAAATAATAATAATTAAAAAAAATAGAAACTACAGATAAATTAAATTAAAAAAAATAGATACCCACAACTCCATCTTAAATAAATTGAAAAAAAAAAATACCCGAATAGAAACCACACAAAAAAAAAATAAAAAAATAAATAAGAATTTAAATATGGATCTAAAAAAAAATTAAGACTTGCATTCCTTCTCTCTTCCCCAAAAAACCAGATAATATTTTTTATGAAAGTTTTAGATATCTATCTATATCTTATATATTATATTATAACATAACAAAAAAAAAAAAAACTAAAAATCAGATATATAAACAGATAAAATTAATAAATTTGATTTTTATTTATTCAGTTAAAAATATTTCTTTTGCACCTCAATATCCAATTTTAAATTTTAAAAATCTTTAAAGTTTATCTAAACAAATCTGATTTGAAAATATCTCTCACCATTATACTTTATATCAATAAAACTCATACGTTTATTACATATCTAACTCACATCATAAGTTACCTAAATAATAATAATTAAAAAAAAATAAAAACCACAGATAAATTAAATTAAAAAAAATAGATACCCACAACTCCATCTTAAATAAATTGAAAAAAAAAACCCTCAAATAGAAATCACATAAAAACAAAAAAAGATAATAATTTAGATATAGACGATAAAAAATATGACAATATCTACGTTCAATTATGATTTAGTAATATAGCTATCTATTTTTCTGATATATATATATATATATCAAAATTTTAAATCATTTAATGAGACAAATTAATTATTTTTCAAGTCTTATTTAAAGAATAATTTGATTAGTCATCCCAACTCCTAAACTTCACAGTGCACTGGTAGAAGAGCTAACGGATTGGGTTAGGTGAGGTTTAAATTGTTGGAACTAATATTTTCACACTCTATAAATTTATTTATTTTTTAATTTTATTTTTTCCATGTGTGATTCTTTTTCTCTACTATTGATTTAGTTTTGGTTTTAGTTTTAGTGAGGTATATTTGTTTGTTTACAAGTTTGCATTGTAGAGAAGAATTATTAGTGACTATGGTTGTAATTGGAGTATCTATGTCCGTTCCATGCCAAGGATTTTGATTAGATTTTGTTTTTCTTCAGTGAAACCATAAAATTGAAGTTAAAAAAATGGGTATCAAATTTGTTATGTTTTTTGTCATTTTATTTTATAAAAAATGTGAAAATTTATTGAGAATTCAAGATTTTACTATAACATTAGATTTTTGTATAATTATGTAAATTTAAAACTTTTAAATATCACTGTGTTCTTTATTTTTATTCTCTTTTTATCTCATTTGACCATTACTATTATTTGTTTGTTTGTTAATTATAATTCAATTAATTGAAAATGAATGCTTAATATAACTTTTCATACAGTATATATTATAGTTAATTTTTTTATGTGATTAAAATAGTTTTGGGAAGTAGCTTTTTACCTAGTTTTTAGTTTTTTACGCATTTTAAATCACATCACCTCTCATATTTTTTACCCACAAAAGACAAAAAAGACTAAAAAGTCAAAAAGTCAGTTTTTTACCAACTTTCCAAAACACTGAGCTAGATGATTTTTTTTTTATCTCTAAAAAACCCAATCTATTTTTTTTTTACTTTTTAATTTTTTAAATTGAAATATCAATTGTTTATGTCTATCAAACAAAACTGATAAACACATATAAAAAAGCTACACATTTTTTTTTATTTTTTTAATATGTAGGATATTTACAAATGAAAAATGTTTGACACCCAATTTTTTTCCCATAATCTAACTTATAATGATGTAGTCATAACTGTCAATTTTTATACAAATATGAGAAGAGAATTAATTAAATTATAGATTTCAACTAACCAGATACTCAAACTTTGACTATTTTAAGATATTATTTCACTATAATTCCAATTAAGAGAATTTTCAACCCTTGATATATTTTTTTATCAAATTATAATTTGATAAAAAATTAAAAAGATGAAACGTTGAAAATTATTGTTTTTTCCATCAAAATTGGTGAAAAGAAAAAAAAATTGGAATAAGAATCAAAATTCTTTTAAAAATTGATAAAAATTTAATGAAAAAGTTAAAGTAATTCATATCAAATCAAAATTTTTATTCAAATTTAAAATCAAATTAGATAAAAAAAATGAAAAGAAAATAATGAAAGTTTGAAAATATTTTGAAACCTTCTTATTCATAAAGACTAGAAATCCGTGTGTGTATTATATTCGTATTGTATTTTTAGTTATGAAATTAAAATCAAAAGAAATATAACTTAAATTATTAGATTAATAATAGAAATATCATATTAATTATTATTAAATATTAATTCACTTCATATTTAATAATAAAATTATATATTTATTTTAATTATAACTTTTAAATTTATATATTTTTATAATAAGAAGAGGTATGTCATAACTCAGTTAATCTTATTTAATTAGATTTAACTTTTTTTAATACAAATTATTAAAATTGCACTAAGTAGACTTATATATATATATATATTTTTAATTTTTTCAAACTAATAATTTTTAAATTTTTAAACATAAAAGTTAACATATAAATTTTACGTATATCATAAAATAATTTTATCACACAATCACCCATCCGAAAAAAAATTAAGTGCTTGTTTGGGATATCCTATAAAAGAAAAAATGGAAATAATGGTGCCGTTTTAAATGGAAAAAAAAAAAAAAAAAAAGTAAAATTTGATGCAACGCTATTATTTGTCAGGCAACTTTTTTTTGTTTTTGTTTTGTTATAAGAAAAGGTTCTATTAACCGTTCCGAATAAAGAGATAATAACCTAAAAATTTATCCCGACTTTTCAAATTAAACTCCACTTAAATCATGAACTCACAGCAATCACCGATTCCATAAGTTGAGATTCAACCACCTAATCAACTATACTTCACCCATGACATTGACTCAAAAGAGGGAGAAATTGAATATGTGGCCTTAAAACTTAAATCCCAGTCTTAACCACAATTTTACCAATCCTGGTTAATATTAGGCGACTTCAATACCTTCAACCTACGGTAGCGTACATGACAAGCTAATTACTATTGCTGGTCGGTGATAGTGATAATGGTATCACCGTTAGGCGTTGGGGTTGTGTCACTCTCTCTCTCATCAATGTCTCTCTCTCTTTCTTCAAAGACGCTGACAAAACGTGTCGGTATGTTCGATCCTTGTTCCTCTTATCCAATCTCTACATGTTATGCGTATGAATTATGTGTTTGTTTTTGTGTTTCTGTAATTAAATGTTACTTTTTTTGGGTTTAATCGAAAAAGAATCAACCTAGAGTTTACTCTTCCCCAAATCTTTTAGATGAAAGTTGAAAAATGTCTCAAAAGCTTATTTGTTAATTTACTACTGAACAGTTTCGTGAGATGATAAGCACAATTTTAGCTTGAGCAAGGCTACACCTTTTTTGGGGAATTTATCTTCCATCCAAACCGAACAGAACGCGAATTTGGCTAATACATTGTAAGGAAAAAGATTGTACCCAGTAACCAAATTAGTATATCTAACACGTAATTTAAATGTGAATGTTTGTCCTCTGAAAAAAAGGAAATATTGAATGAATTGATAGTAAATTTTGAGATTTTACTTTTGCTTGATAGCTTCAGTACACCTACTCATTGGAACTAATGCTAGTGATATCTTGGTTTCGTTTGGGAAGTTGGCTATTTTAATTTTTAATTATTTGAGTAAGCTAAAATATTTGTATTTGGAAAGATGGTTAGAATTTTTGTAGTTGGATGTGATGTTTGTGAGGGAAAAGTAAAATGATTATGGATTTGATGCATCATTTTGTCTTATTAGTTATTTTAGCGTATTTTGTCTTTTTTGTGAATTTTAGCCAAAAAAAAGCCCAATTTTGGGCAGCCCAATTTTGGGCTTCCCAAACACCCCAAAACATTAACAGGAAGGGGACAATGGTGATTGTTATTATGAATGGGGTGACAAGATTGAAAGTTTGATTCTTGCGGATGATGATGAGAGTCTTATCTCATTCATGACAAGCCCGCCTTTTGCAGATGGCACAGCTACGTATTCCATATTCATTCTTTTAAATAATATATATGTATTGTTGAGGCTGTGAAATGTGCCACTGCATTGCTGGAAGGGAGGTTGGGCATAGATCCAAAAAATGTTATAGATGGTTACCACCTGCTGCATCATGCCATTATGTCTTCATCTTATGACTTAGCTCAATTGTTTCTTCACTGCGGAGCTCGTACGGATATCACATGCCTTTATCACTTAAATAAAGCGTACGATGGGATGATCCCGCTTGAACTAGCCCTTTATAAAGTGAGGTACAAAATAAAAAATAAAAAATAAAAAATAAAAAATAAAAAATAAAAATGGTAAAAGATTTGCATAGTGCTTATTCTTCCTATTTTGGCAATGTTTTTTTCTCCTTCACTCTGATTTTCCCTTTTATTTATTTATTTATTTTTTAAAAATTTATTGTACTGATTGAGCAGAACTACTCTATATATGCTTTATGAGTGTGGAGAACAATCTGCTTTTGACTTGATAGTAACACTTTGTCTTCCGACAATGGTTTGTTTTTCAGCAAAGAATTATTACTTAGACCCCATGCTACATATGTTTGGTTTTTTGAAGTTGATGAATGAGCTAATATAATTTTCTTCGTCAATTACTTGTTGCAGAGAGAGGCTTTGGCCATGTACAAGTTGGTTGCAGGGTTCACCAGGGATGTTGAAGAGTTAGCTTACCATTATGCCACGGAAGGAAAACTTGTTGAGTTGGCTGTCTTGCTGGTTGTGGCTTGAGAAAAGGTTTTGGTTCCCATCACATTTCATGGAAATAATGGTGCCGTTTTAAATGGAAGTATGACAATCCATGAATGTCTTAAAAATCAATTTGTGTCTCTAATTAACGAGGATATCAACCTTATGGGTCAAGTTAAACATGAGAAATTAACTCAAATTCACAACAAGAAGACAATTATGAAGTTGGCTATGGTATTGCTTGAAGTTTTTGAGAGGGCTGGTAATAGTATTGAGGAATATCATCAGCTACAACTACAACAACCTGATGTATGTATTAATACCTGTTCAATCCTCTTTGTTTTGATGCTTCTTGCTTCTTTGTTTCATAATACATACAACATTTATTTGGTATAGGTATATGCATTAATACCTGACCCAGCAAATTTGGAATTATTTATTTATTTTTTAATTGTCAGAATGCAACATCTTTTATGTGAAAATAACCAACTTCCATGCATAATGTGTTGCTAATTTGGTGATTGAAGGATTAAATAGGATCTAGTTAGACACACTCTGAACTCTTTCTTGATGAGAAAACATGTCAAACTACATCCTATATGTTCAAGGTTAAAACTGAAATATCTATTGCTGTTCTCTTATAAAAAAAACATAATTGGTCGGATTAGTTGGATTCAATGGTTCCATAAATTTTGCCCTCCTTGAACAACAAGTTTGCAAGATCTCATTTATATTGTCTTCTGTTTAAACAAAAGGGTTCTCAATTACCATCTCTTATTCGAAACGTTTTGAGGTTTTTGGGTTTATTTTTTGAACAATATAAAAAACTATGGTTGGTGGGATTCGGAACCACATCTCTTGTGGTGAAGCCAAATGCCTTCACAATTAGACTATGTCATCAAGCCCTTACAAAATTTTATCTTATAATTTGGCCTCATAATCATTTTATTTCATTCTCTATAGTATTTATGAATTGTTTAACATATATATATTTATAGTTTATGCTGAAGTTACGTTTCTCGATTTGCAACAAAAAGGATTTCAATTCACGATTGTTGATTTGATAGCTATGATCTTGTTCCACGAGTTTGTGTTTGGATTTTGGATTTGTATATGGCTTTATATTGGGAAAATAAAAGGCATGGGAAACAACAATTGGAAAGATTAAAAAATAGAAGCTGTTTTTTTCTCCTCCCTTGGCAAATTCCTTCACAAATCCAAAATCCAAACACTACCTAATTAGATGGAGGTCCCACTTCTCCAGCCAGGCTTGCAGTAATATCTGCTTGTAAAGATCTCTATTAACATTCTGTCATCTAAATTTTTGTATCTTGCAGGCTAATTTTCATCTTTTGTTTCTTCAGATGGATATCTGAGCTTCCTCATGTGGATATAAGCTGATGTTTGTAAGTTGTTAAGGTGACAAACTTGTTCTCACATGTGCAGTAATGCATATCAGCACATTATGTCATAAGGTAATCATTTGGTGCTCCTTATAGGTGTAGAGAGAACATATGGAGAAAGATGTTGCTCTGAGGCTTGTGGAAGCAAGCTTTAACTTGAAGGCTGGAGACTTTGATTTTAGCATTAGAGACTGGTTTGAGAGCCTAATATTTAACGTTTGAATGTCTTTTCTGGATTGTGTTTGTTTTTTTTTTTTATGCACATTTATTGATCATCCTTTGTGGTTCAGTATAACTAAACTATTATGTCATTGAATGGCTAATTGACACTTGGGAGTACCTTTCTTCCTTGACAGGATCATTTCCTACAATTCTGCAATGACCTCTACCAAGTACATAGACACTCGATTAGGTAATTTATTGAGTTCTAATTGAAATAATCTAACTTATGGAGCCCTCGTTTGCCCATGCAGCAGCAAACAAATGCGTTTTTTCCCCCAAGGGTTAGAAAATGATATTTGTTTTGTTTTTTGCTATTATTTTTATTGGTTCAAGTATTACTAGGAGTCTTGTTTCTTGGATGGTTTGTGCTAAACAACATTTTTCGCTTTCTTGGTATGCGAGTTTCTGATATGTTTTCTTACAGAAGATAAGTCGTCTCAATTGTGGAGCCCTCGTTTGCCCATGCAGCATCAAACAAATGCGTTTTTTCCCCCAAGGGTTAGAAAATGATATTTGTTTAGTTTTTTGCTATTATTTTCGCTGGTTCAAGTATTGCTAGGAATCTTGTTTCTTGGACGCTTTGTGCTATAACACACAGCATTTTTCGCCTTCTTTTTTTTCTTATGATACGGTTTGCAACAATTTCATATCACATTATAAGAACATGAATTTGTTTCAGAAAGGAGCTGTTTATGAAAGTTGTGATTATTTTTTTTATCTATAACACGATGCAAAATGTTTTAATGATTTGCATTTTTCATTTACAATTCTATATCTATGTATATTTATTATAATATGTATACCTTGTTCGTCTCGTATTCGAGCAGAAAGAAATACCTGGTGATGGTAATTAGTCATCAGTCTTGACTACCCGTTTTGACAACACCTGTGCTTTATCCTCTATGGTGAAGTCAAATAATAAAATTCAAGTCCCAAAATCCATCCCTGGTTCTCAGTATTTTCTACAGGTTTGGATGTTCAAGTGAAGAAGAGAATGAAAGCAATAGAACATAATGGGCCCAAATGTTTGTCAAGGGAGAAGTTTGTGTATACTGCAATGTTGATCAAGAGGGGAATAAGAATTGCTTGAATCTTTTGGGGACCGGCTTTGGTGGTATGAATGACTACTTTTGATTGTTCTTGTTTTTTGTACTTAAATTCTAGCATTTACTTTTAGGTAAAATTCCCATTAAGTCCTACTTTTCACATGAAATTTCTGCTGAGTTCTATTACCAGAGGAATCAGTCCTTTCAACATAGTGTTAAACGGACTTGATGGAAATTTATTGGAAAAATGTAGCACTTACGAGATATTTTATAACTTTTGTTTGTGTCTTTTTGAGTGTCCTAATTTTTCATTCCTTCTTTTTTGTTTTAAATTTTGTGGTCTATTTTTTTTTTTTGTTTTTAGTTCCAATTGGCCCCAAATGTGTTTGGCTTGAAACTAAACTATATACAAACACCATCACTAATATAATTTTACTCTTTTCGAACTTATTGCTTGCATTAGTGGGGGAATTCCAAGGTACCATTGCCCCAATTTTTTTGGGGTACACAACTCATCCTTTTATTGACGGAGCTGTGAATTTGTTTGAGTTTCAAGTTTGTTTCCAACAAATTAGTGCCCACCTATGTTACATGGACTGGGGTATAGGTGTCGGATGCAGGTATGTATTTAGAGGTTAGACACTTCAAACCATAAATTTAAGGGTACATGGACTCGGCAAAAAAAAAAAAAAAAAAAAAGTCATATTTTATATTTTTAATCAAGTGTGTAAGATAAAATAGTGCTATATGTAACTTACAGTGACAAAAATACATTTATTGCAACTATATAACAATATGTACATATAATAATAGTGTCATATACAATTATATAAGAAGTGTCCGTTGAAAAGTAGCCGACACATATCACATACCCTTATATGAGTGTCGGGTGTATGACACGGGTATTTGATTTATTTTAAAGAGTCCGTGTAACATAGGTGCCAACTTGGAACTACTTTTGGGATTATGCATCATTTGGTGGTTTTAATGATTTAAGTGGAGATGCTATCTCCAATTAGTGTTTTCCTCTTATTCTAGATCATTTATCAGGAGTTTGAGGAGTTGGAACTATCAAATAATTTAGTTGTGCTGACTTTTTGCTAAACTGTTGCTGGGCAGAGTTGGTTGGATTTGGCAATCAATGAAATCAATTTTAAATGACGCAGGTGCTTGGAGGCCTTACAAATCTGTAGAATCTGGAAGACTACCTTCTCAAATGAGAAGGCTTTTGCAACTGTATGTATTTAAATATGGAAGATTACCTGCTCAAATGTGAAGGCTTATGCATGTATGCTTGTCTGCGCGTGTACATGTGCATTTGCTTTTTGATGGATCTTGATGGATCAATGACGTTATAACAATGTAAATTTTTTTCCCTTTCTCTTTTCTTCTAGTTCTATATTAAACTCTATCCCCCATTAGTATTTATCTTTTCTAATCTTTTTATGTGACCTTTGATAAATTTTTGGTGATTAAGGATGCTTATAATCTTCCTTTATTTTTTTTTAATTGGAGTTGAGGGTGATGGAGTGCAAATCCTGATTAATAATGATCTAATTGCATATACAGATGACTAAAGTCTTAAGATAACATTCATTTAGAGGACAGTTTTGACAGAGTGGGTGATAATTAAATCAGTACAATATTTGTAGAATAAGCAATTATATCCCCAGAAGAAAAACAAAACAAAAAGAATTGTTATTGATGGGGGGGGGGGTAGAGAATTTGGCAAACCCTCATGGAACATGATCAACATAAGTACCCATTATTTATTGATATTTTTCATTTCAACTATATTTTTCTTTCCAATTTTGGTGAATATATATAGGTTCATACTTTATATTTTTCCTCTGAAAGTTCATCACAACAGTGTTGCTATTACTTTATATTGACATTGAATCAGCTATTCATTGCATTATTATAAAATTGCAATGACTATATTTTGATGCATGTGTGACATCGTCACCATCATGTTTGATTTTTGGAATGCTCACTCTCATCACATCAGTGATGATATGAAGTCCTAAAAGTGGTATTGTTTAGATTAGAGTGCTAAGAAGTTTTGTTATTTTAATTCCTAAACATTCTTATTGAGAAAGAAATGCACAAAATGGAACTGTTTTCCTTTCTTCTGTTTAAAAATGCCTAATGCTGGAATAACAATGTCATATGTCCCAAAGGACCAAAACATCAACATGAAATGTCTTTTATCTGGGACCCAAAAACGTAACAGTTAATAGGTTGGCTGAATGAGATTCAGCCTTACTCGAAGAATAATCTGCGTTGAGAAGTTTCCTCTCACTGAAAAACCCGGGCTGCTTCGGCTGAGGCAATACCATATCACTACAAAACATGAGAACCACAGATGACATGCTTGGCCTGTCCTCTGGACTCTGTTGCACGCACAATAGACTGATATGGATTGACCGAATAACTTCAGGATGATTACGTGCATCTGCCATTGACGTGTCAATTAGTTCCGAAGACTTGCCTTCTTTGTGGAGGTTCCAGGCCTGGACAATTGCATAACATTTTGTCAGTAAGTTTTGTATCCTGGCATTGAGAGATTAGGTAAACAGTAGCTTTGACGCTTACATGCCCTAGAAGGTTGAGGTTGTGGTCAGGATGATGAAATCCTCTGTTTTTCTTCCCACTGATTATCTCAAGCACCAATACCCCAAAACTGAAGACATCCGATTTTATGGAGAAGAGTCCATCAATAGCGTACTCTGGAGACATGTAACCACTGGAAGAATCAATGTGAAAAGAAATTAATGTCCCAACTTCTTGTGAGGTGTCCTATATTTTTACTATGCACTCAGGTTTACTGTAGAGGGCTTTTTACAAAAGGTGGAGGTCTGAAGCTCAGATCTGGAAGCATTGTAGAGTGGAGGCAGCCCCCTCAACTTGAATACTGTGGAGGTATTTATTGTATTTTTCAGCCATGGTTTCAATGTGTGAGAGTATGACAGCATTATAGGCACATTGCCAAACCACATATATCATGTGTTCTGTGTGTTTGCTTTGTTCTATTTATTGTTTTGTAATTGGAACCATTTGACTCTTGCATAACATGATCAATAATAGTAGAGTCTCCCTCATAACTGAAAATATACTTACTATGTTCCAACTACTCTAGTTGTATTTGCTTGAGTTTCATTGCCTCCAAAACTTCTGGCCATGCCAAAGTCTGAAATTTTTGGATTCATCTCGTTATCTAGTAAAATATTACCAGCTTTTAGGTCTCTATGGATGATTCTCAGTCTGGAGTCTTGGTGAAGATAGAGAAGCCCTCGAGCAATCCCATTGATAATGTTGAAGCGCTTGGGCCAATCCAATAACATGCTTTGCTTTTCACCTGCTCAAATTTTAATCCAATTTATTGCGCTTTTTGCTTAATCAAATTTGTGAACATCATAGAAACAAAGTTAACACAGTTTGAGAAGTTCTAAAAAATATGCTATGCATAGAAGTTTAGAGAGAGACAAACCAAAAATAAAGGAATACAAGCTCTTGTTGGGGAGATATTCATAGATCAACATCCATTCCTCTTCTTCAATGCAACATCCTTGAAGCTTGACAAGGTTTCGATGTTGAAGTTTGGCAATACATAACACTTCATTCTTGAATTCATCAAGTCCTTGTCTTGAACTCTTTGATAGTCTCTTCACAGCTATTTGTTGTCCCTCTTCCAATGTACCCTGAAAATATCAATATTCAGCAGTTTCATATTCTGCTTGTTTTTCATGTTCCCCTGATTTTCCCTATGCAAATCTATGCCATGTGTTCTGAATAGATGCACTAATGTAATTGACTACAGTTACACAGGCAACGTGGTTGAAGTAATGTGTTTTGCTGTACCTCTTTTTTTTCTTCTTCCAATTGTGCAAGTGAAGCAAATATTCTGTGGAATTCTATATACCCCATTGGATTATATACATCTTGTAAAAAGACCATTTTTTCCTTAACTTCTAACTGTGGATTGGGTTTGGAGACTGATTTTTATTTTATTTTTTCTAAAAACACTGGGAGATCTTTAACCGAAACATCAAAATGAGACGTTATCTTATTGGTTAAGATATACGTAGTCTTACTCCTATTTCTGGAAATGTTGTTTCCGTGACTCAAGTTTGTGCCACTGGGACACTAATGACAAGCTTTATTGTTGAGCCAATCACCCTTTTCTGAAAGCACTAGTGCTGACTTAAATTTTTCATAAGAATGTCGAGTTTTGTGCCATAATTTGAGAGAACGTAATAGCAAAGCTAGCGCTAGATTGTTATGTACACAGAAATTGGTCTCGTTGCATAGAAATGTTACAATGCCAAATGGGTAGATTAAACTATTTTCCTTCTGATGCTGCATAATTGTGTATGAATATTAACAATACCTTGTACACAGGTCCAAAGCCACCTTCTCCAATCTTATTGCTTATTGAAAAATTGTCTGTAGCTTTTGATATCGTGGCAAAGTCAAATAGTGGTAATTCTATATATTTTCTTTCGTTTTCGTCACTGTAGTCTGTTTCTGGATTGAATCTAGTCATTCCTGCAGAGTATAATTCATGTAAGTAAATGAAGCTTTGGACTACCATTTATGCCAATAGTCACAACCTTATAAATTTTGTCTGGTTATGTTTTCGGATATATATGTGTTTTTCATTTTTGGTTTTTGTTTTCATCTTTTGTGTTTTCAAAAACAAAAACAATGAAAAGTTGGACAATCCCAACCTTATGAAGCACGGACACCTCTCTAGAGGTCGCGTACAGGTGTCTGACACATGTCAGACATGGACACGCTTTGGGCACGTGTTGTACTTGCTGGAAAGAGTTGGACATGCTGGGACACTTTGGACATGCTGGGACACGTTGGGACATGCTGGGACACGTTGGGACATGCTGGGTTCTCTTTTTTCCAAAAAATAAAATTTTTAATTTTTTTTACTAAAATAGCATACCTAAGGCTAATAAATTTGATAAAATTAAATATTTGACATAAAATACATATTAAATATTTAAAAATATACATATAATAAAAATTTAAAAATATATGCTTTGAATGTGTTCTCAATGTGTCGTGTCATGTATTTTTTTAAAACTTTACGTGTCCGTGTGTCCGTATCGTGTCACGTGTCCCGTGTCTGTGCTTCGTAGACCCCAACCAATTTTGAAAATTTGTTTGAAATCATCTGTCCGCCTGCTTAAATGGATGTCATCTGTTGTACTATTGCATTTCTTACAGCTCAGTCCTTAAAATCATACTGATTTCATTTGGAAGCCCCTATGAGCCATGCAGAGCTTGTTCAATTGTTTTGGAACCCTTCTATGCTGCCAATGGTGTTCTTTGGACTGTCCACTGGACATTCCTCCATAGGGAAAATACTTGTTAATAGAGGAGAGAATGAGGGCTTGGATACTCCATCCCGAAATTCATCCATGTCATAATCTCAAAATACTCATGATAGTTAGATCATGTAAGAATTTCAAGATATGAAAATTTCCAGACATAATTCAATGACTGAGCGTTTTGGAATAGGGATGCAAAGGAATTTAGGGATACAAGATGCCAATAGGACAAGGGGCATAGGAAGTCCAATTGAAACATCATTTAGTAATGACAGATCATTTAGTAAGCAGATTTAATATAAAAATTATTCATTACATTACCTACTCTCTTGAGCTTTCTTTTATTTCTGACTTGGAAGAAGAGGAATAGGATTAGGAGAACCACTCCCACAAGTGATATAGGGATGGCTATGATCCTCACTCTTCTCTTTGCACTGGAGCTGTTAAGTTTCTCTGCATAACAATACAGTTGATTGACTCTGTAAAATAACTAAATTCAAAGCAGGGAAAATTATGATTAAAATATAGCAGTAAAAGGAGGCATTTTAATTCTTAGTGGCTGTACACAGTTTTCAAAAGTAACAAAATTTTAGGACTCAAAAAATAATAGTAATAATAAATAAATAAATTTTCATTCACCTCCCTTCTACTGGTCGGTGGTCACTGCCTCTGGCAACCCTCCATCCCTCTGGTCACTCCCTTGTGCAACTCACCACACATTTTTGTTTTTTTGTTTTGTGTGTTTTGAATACATGTCAATGATTTTTTTATTTATAGAAAAAATAAACATGTGTATGTTTTCTGTTTTTTATAAACAAAAAAATAGAGAACTGTGAAGTTACCAAACTGTAAATGTGGAGGCATAGGATTCCTTGGATAACATGTCTGATTTACTGTCTAGCTATGAAGCACGGATACTTCAAATAGGGTGACGTATTCGTATCGTATCTGTATCGGATACCGATACTCCTTGGATACTTACAGATACGTATCGGATACTTATTAAAAGTATCGGATACTTCTTAATTATTTTTTTTTATTAATTTTGGAGTATCGGATACTTAATTTTGAAGTATCGGATACTTCAAATCGTGTTTACTTGTTTTAAGAAATTAGAATTGTAACGTTTCTTGCATAGTAATATAATATAATATAATTGCAAGTATAAATATAAAAATATTTTTCTAATACTTTGTTAAGTTCTTCGATAAGAAGAGTAGAGTGAGTTAAATAATAGAATTTGTCTAATTATTTCATGCATGTCCCCTATAACTACATAGAAAGTAAGAATTAACAAGAAAATATAACAATGGTACAATTAATTATCAATAAATAAATAAGCAAGTAAACTTGAATACAATATTTTTCACTGGTGTCAAAGGGAAAAGCATAGGGACAAATTGTGAATTATTTTATTATTATAATATAAATATATTAAACTTGATCTTGAAATGAAATATTTGCAAAACCTATTAAAAATTTAAGAAGTAAATAAGCTACTAGCTTAAATTAATACAAAATTCTTAAAAATTAATATTTTGCATTATAAAATTATATTATGATTTCTTAACGTTCTTTAGTTTATGTGTAACTCACTATTAATAATTTTAAAAAATATATTGTTGACAAACGTATCCTAGCCGTACCAGTATCCTATTTTTTTAGGTTTTGTCATATCGCTGTATCCGTATCGTATTGTATCCGTATCTCGTATCCGTATCTACACTTCCTAGCTGTCTAGTATGTTTATGTTTTATCAAATGCACTGACATCATCACAGTAGTATGTAGTAGCCGTAGATGAATGAGGATCAGGCTTGAGGCTACGTTGCACCAAAGGGTAAAGTTTATTATCGATGACCAGCTAGTCACTTTCCTGGCTGATGACGAAGAAGAGGGCTCAAGAAAGGTAGAAGTTGTGCAGAATGTAGAGTCGGGAAAAAACTAGTAAGTTTCTAATGTTGCTTCATAGTGTTTTTTTTTTTTTTTTGGGCTATATCTAATGAAGAAAAGATTTTAACATTTATAAGGCTGTGTTTGGATTATGGATTTAGGTAGAAATTTGGACAGGAAAAGAAAAAAGTAAGTAAAATGTAAATAAAATATAGTTATATTTCACCCACATTTTTTATTTTTCTTTTTTAAATCTCTACTTAAATCTATAATTCAAATACAACCTAAGTAAACACCATTTAATTAATCTAGTTAATTACTAGTTCTGTGAGAAGTAAATTCATACCCAATTCTGAAGCTGCCATTCTCACATAAAGATCTTGCCCATTCTCAGCATACTGTCTAATATCAATCAGGTCCCCAAACCAAATTAAGCATCCACTCCCACCATCTCTGATATCCACATTTGCATAACCTGTACAATTACAGTTCCTCAGGCAAACCCTCTCACATTCCTCAAGACCCATGCTCACGTTGAACCATGAATGTTGTGTGTCTGGCAACTTCAAACCAGAAACCTTCAAAAACCCATCTCCATTCCCACATTCCAACTGAGTCTTCCTCACACACCCGTTCGACCAATCTGCCACGTCCCATTCCTCTGCAAATCTCGGCTCAAATCCTTTCAAGCACCCGCAGGCCGGGGAATTATTGATGTTGCAACTACCATATGGCCCACACAGTGCGTACCGGTCGCAGTTATCCATCTGCGCGGTCAAGAACAGTACCCAACTTTGCGTCCTGTCAATCCAGATGAATCGCTGTATCATTCCGCCTGGATTCAACACCATCCTGGAAACTACTGAGCTGTTAACAAGTTCATACTCATAGTATACCTCTTCCTGATCATAAACAAATTGAAAGGTGTAGATTGGGTTCGGCTTCAGATTAGGCATGCCACTGAACCGGAGACCGTTCCAGGGTCCAGACCGGAACTGTATACTCGATCCTTTCCTCAGAAGTATTTGCGGATACCCATCAGAATGAAACTTGTTTGTGTATTTGCCAGGGGAAGGATCGTCAGGACTCGTCCATGACGACAAGAACCGATTCAGGCCGGTTGTCAAATTTATCCCCATTTTCATGCCTGGTAAAAACGTGTCTCCAGGATAATCGAAACTTTGCCACAGGTAGTCTCCAGGGTTGCTGTCACTGCCGTCTCTCATAACTAAGTTCCCAGTGTCCAAAAGCTGTGCCACTGGATTGGCTGCCGATCTTGACATGTTTGATAACCAAAGAACATCATTGGCGGAATTGAAAAGTACTAGGATTCCTGGGCTGACAACTTTGAGAACTCCTGACATGCCAGTGATTGGACTAGCTCTGTTGGCCACCCATACTACATCTTGAGTCTCAGATGATATCTTTTTGTACCATATACCCAAGTACCGGTACTTGGAGCTACCGGGACTGAAAAATCCCAGTTCAAAGTTCCCACCTGCTGAAACAATGGTATCACCATCTTTGATGATCTGGTTTGAAGTTATGGTGTCTATTGCAGTTGATGAATTTATCAAGATTGGAAGAAAAGTGGAGATAAAGAAAAATATTGTAATAGTTTCCATTGAAGTGCAAGCTTATGGCTTGCATGGTTTTATATATGTTTTGTGGTTCAAAGACTTGGGCTAATTGATGGGATTGACCGATTGATATATATATATTATATAGGGCTGTAAACGAACCGAACTGTTCATTAAAGTTCGTTTGAGCTCGACTTGTTTACTAAATGAACAAGCTCGAGCTCGATTTTTAGGCTCGTTTATTAAGCTCGAATAGCCCTAAGCTCAGCTTGATAAGATTCGTGAATATAAAAATAAATAAATAAATATTTATTTTTAATAATATATTAAATAAATTTTCAATAGTCTATTTTATTTATTATTTATGTTTGGTGTTTGTGTAAATTTACATGTTTGATTGATGAAATTTATTATTAATATAAATATTATTATATATTTTACTCATAATTTTGTATTTTTTTTTTATCTTACTAAATAAATATTATTATATATTTTACTCATAATTTTTGTATTTTTTTTTATCTTACTAAGTAAATTAATTTAAATTTAAATTTTTTTCGAGCTCGAGTTCAACAAATATGTGACGAGCCGAGCTCGAGCTCGATTTTTGAAGCTCAACTAGAGCTTGGTTTGAGTTCGAGCTCGACTAATTCTTACTAAAGACACTTGAACATTCAAAAGTTTCGGTTTGTTTGTAGGCCTCCATATATATAGTTTTCAAAGTAATTTTCTTTAGATAGCTTTTGTACTTGTACAAAAATTAATCAAAGATGTGAATACAACTTTTTTTGAGAGGCTTATAACTATTATTCGTACGATATTGTGTTCAATTCAATGATCGACTTTTATGTTGTATATATATATATATATATATTTTGAGATGTTACCAAGAGTCAACGGATTCATAACATGAACTAGTGGTCAAATATAAGCTTCTAGTGGTGGGCCTAAGCTTCTGGAATGCTATTGACTATCAAGGATCAGGCATTTTCTCCACTTAAAAGACTAATGATTGGCTTTAATTCTTGGGTTGTTAATGGCTGTTTGATTAAAAAATTATGGACCAAACATATGGTTGTTAACGGCCAGGATTTACGCAATCAAGCATGCTTCACAAGATGATGAAGCAAGTGGGAAGGCAAATTGATCACCGATATTAGATTCCATATATCTCTACAATGATAGATTTACATTTTTTTTGAGTTCTTTCACTTAAATTCCAATGAGAAAATCATTCAAAAAAATACCCTAAAAAAATGTGAATCAAATTTACTTTAGGTGAGTCAACTACATTAAATTTAAATTTATACCATACATTTAATTTTCATAATATTTTTCTAGGAGTTTGTTTATCTCCAATCCAAATTTAGACTAAATTGGTACAGTTCAGGTATGTGAGTCGTGCAATTTATAAATTCTTGTATATGTAGATAGTTTTCAATAATTGTAGCCACAGGATTTATTATATTTGTTTCAAAAAAAATAGAAAAATATTACTTTAAAAGCATACTATCAATTTTTTAAAAATAAATTTCTAAAATGATGTGAATATAATTATTTGATTTTTTTCCATAAATAATTTACACACATAAGCTTAAAAGATGAAAGAATTAGATCATCAAAGTGAAACTCATGATAAGTCCACATGTCTAGACGAGACCAGTGTAATAATTTACGGTGTAAATTGAAAAAAATCCAATTCCCATTTTTTATTCGTAATGTGCCATAACATTGTTCAATTTTCCTTGTATGGTGGTAGACTTTTGTATATTGTTATTTTTCCAGCGAAGACTTGGAAAATGCTGTGCAGAGAACAAAGAAGATTGATAACATAAGTCAAAAGTCAACAAATACAAAAAGCTTGATAAGTCTGATTTAGGAAACCTTTATTATCGTCTTTGTCTGACTTTTGTTGCTGGGGTAGTTTTTAATTCGAGAACCTGAGCTTTTACTATTACAGGATAAGAAGGAGATGGAATGGAATTGCCCATTTTGGGAATCCAAGAATAAGGGAGGCAAGGGAGGATAATAAATTCTCTCTTCATGGGTGGTGGTGGTGGTGGTGGAGTTGTCACGGGAGCGAGAGGTGATTGGTCTGCGACAGTGGCTGGGGAAGGGGATTAGGGTGGCCGCCGTTGGGGACAGCAAGAGGCAGTGAGCGGGTGCCGGAGGCTGGTGGTGTGTATTAAAAAAAAAAAGTTTTTGCAATTTTGTATAAAAAAAGTAATTTGATTAAGGGTCAAAAATATAATTAAAAGAATTACCGAGATGACGTACACTAATGAATAGATGGTGTGCAAATTAAATTTCTCTTATCATATTATCTATTGCCATTAAAAACTTGAAGATTTAATTTATAAAAACAGTAATGCCACATGCATTAAAAAAACAAAAACAAAAACAAAAATAAAAACTGACGTGTATCCTCACTATGGGATTGGTGCGAAGCACACCTACAATAGTTACGTGTGACATTGATTTTTCTGTGCATTTTTTCATTGTATTTTTATTTACGGAGCAGTGAATTTGTTTGAGTTTCAAGTTTGCGTCCAACAAATTAATGTCAGCTTGGAACTACCTTTGGGATTATGCATCATGTAGTGGTTTTAATGATTAAGTGGAGATGCTGCCATCTCAAATTAGTATAGGATTTTGACTAGTCAGAACTATCAAATAATTTAGTTTTTGCTAAAATGTTGGTTAGATTTGGGATCAATGAAATCAACTTTAAATGATGCAGGTGCTTGGAGGATTAGGGATGGCAATGGGGGTTAATGGGGTGGATATTAATTCTCCATTCCCATTCTCCTATAATAAATTTTCTCCATTCCCCATGGGTACCACCCTCTCCATTTCTTAATGGGTTTGGATTTTCCCCAACCCACTTTAATCCCCATTTTTATTTTTTTATATTTCATGTTAACAACCACTTTTTTTTTTTTTTTTATTTTATTTATTTTTTATTTAAGGTTCACAACAAAAGCTAAATATACCTTCAATCTTTTTTTTCTTTCTTTTTTAATATATTTAATGTTAACAATTTTTTTTTTTAAGGTTCACAACAAAAACTAAATATACTTTCAATCTTTTTCTTTCTTTTTTAATATATTTAATGTTAACAACTCTTTTTTTTTTTATTTTTTTAAGGTTCACAACAAAAGTTAAATATACATTCAATCTTATTTTATTTTATTTGGTTCAACAACAAAATCAAATACACATTAATTAATTAATTAAACAGTTTGTTTTATAATAATCAAATATATAATTTTGAGACAATCAAATAAGTTTTAGTAATTGAAAAAAAAAATGTGGAAGAACGTGGAAGATTAAAAAAAAAATTACAACCATCTCTCTCTCTCGCTCTCTCTCACTCTCACTCTCACTCTCACTCTCTCCCCTACATGTTATAAAACCCGTTTACAATATTATAAGAGCCTGTTTGAAGAAATAAAATGTGAAAGAACCTGTCTGAAAAAAGTGTTATAAGACCCATATTAAATTGCATCATGGCATAAACTAGGAATTGTTTGTTGATCTCTTAGTCACGGACATTTTAGACATTAAACCATCTTTCTCTTAGCAAATTTGAACCATTCATTTTAATTTATCCAAAATCTAATTATACCTTTTAACAAATTTGAACTACCCATTTTAAGATATCTATACCTTACCACACCCAATCCATCCTCCATCTTCTTCCTTTAGTCCCCTACGAATTTTGTTGTTTGTTACTTTTAAAAAATAAAAAATATTTTTTCAATTAATTTTTTACTAATTTCACAACACCATCACCACTATTCTCACCTACACTATCACACTACCATCACCATAGGCACTACCATCATCACTGCTGCCATCACCCACCACTATGTCACAATCTCTACTTTCACTTTCGTTCCATCACCACCACCACCAAATATAAAAAAATATATTTTTAATTTTTTTTATAAAAAATATTTTTCATTAAAAAATATTTGCTATCTAAATAAATGAATCATAACATTGAGAAACAAGCTGATTTCAGTTAAATCTGTTCATAATAAGAAAAATTCTTTTATTTTTAAAAAAATTATTTAGTAAGACTTTGTATTCCCTTTTTGTTTTTCTAACAAATAAATCTTTGTACCCATGCTTTCTAACCAATCACGACTCATGCTTGTTTCGATTCTCTACAATTTCCTTATTTTCAAATACATTCATATATATATATATATATATATATGTTGTATGAATTGTGTGATAACATAAAACAAATAGATTCATACTTGTTAATTGAAATTTCGGAACAAGCAAACCATTCTGAAAATTACAATACATAACAAAATAAAATAACATAGAAAAGCAAACCGAAACCTGCACTAGACAGTGTCCTTAATTTTTTTTAAATAAATTTAAAAAATTCTAGATATGTCTAAAATTTGACAAGAATAATGTGACAATGTTAATTAATGTGTATTTGATTTTATTGTTGAGCCAAATAAAATAAAATAAGATTGAATGTATATTTAGCTTTGGTTGTGAATCCTTAAAATAAAAAATAAAAAAAAGGTTGTGAACCTTAAAAAAAAAAAAAAATTAAAAAAAAAAACCAAAAGAAAAAAGATTGAATGTATATTTAGCTTTTGTTGTGAATCTTAAAAATTAAAAAAAAAAACAAAAGAAAAAAGATTGAATGATATTTAGCTTTTGTTGTGAACCTTAAAAATTAAAAAAAAAAATTAAAAAAAAACCAAAAGAAAAAATATTGAATGTATATTTAGTTTTGGTTGTGAATCTTAAAAATTAAAAAAAAAATGGTTGTGAACCTTAAAAATAAAAATAATAATAAAAAAAAAGATTGGATATATATTTAGCTTTGGTTGTGGATCTTTAAAAAAAAAAAAAAAAAGGTTAGTTGTGAACCTGAATAAATAAATAAATAAATAAAAGAAAAAAGATTGAATATATATTTAGTTTTGGTTGTGAATCCTTAAAATAAAAAAATAAAAAAATAAAAAAAAATATGGGGAAATTAATGGGTACCCATTCCCAACCCATCCCCTGTGGATATTTAAAAAATATCACTTACCCTACCCAATGGATAAGAAAAAAAAGGGAAACCCATGTA